TGATTAGATTCAGTCTGGATATCTGGATATTGCTCCTGATTAGATTCTGTTTGGATATCTGGGTGTTTCTCCTGGTTAGATTCTATTTGGATATCTGGATATTTCTCCTCATTAAAGCCACCTGAGAGATTCACAGAGTAAAGTGTCATTTGATGGGAAAAATCAGCCCCTTGGACCTGCGTGTCACTGCCTTTGCTCCTGAGCTGTGCTTTTCCAGAGCTTGGATTTAATCCTGGCGTGTTCATCCCGACAGTTCCAAACCTGAGCCATCCCTTGGCTCCCTGAGCATTCCCAGGAGCAAAGCTGAGTCACCTCTTGGGATGAGGTGACCAAGGAGCTCCCAAGTGCCAAAGCACAGAGAGATCTCAGCTCGTTCCATTCAGCCACAAACAACGAGCCTGGGGAGGGATCCAAGGACAGGGAGATAAGGCTGATACTTCCATGAGGATCTGGCCAACAGCTGCTCCACAGATCCCTCTTTTCCTGCAGGAAGGATGTGGCTGCTCCATCTCCCAGGATCTGTTATTTCCCACAGCACAGACGACCTGGAGGCAAAACCAGTCCAATTAAACCAGCACCAAAACACAGCAAAGTCAGAGACCAAACCCCACCTCAGCCTCCTCTGCCCTTCCCCACCTTCCCAACCACCCAGAGATTCCCTGGATTCCATGTACACACAAAGGCAGCTCCAATGCTGAGCCTGGATTTAACCAGCATCCTATAAATTTAATTTTGAAGGTCAAGACACAACACAGCTGCCATGACTTTCTTTCTAGTGGTGAAGTTGCAATTTTTTGCATTATTATTGTTTGAAATTATTCTGTCAGCCTGGGATGTCATAGGATTAATTCCAGCCACTGGCATTATCCTTCTTTTTTCCTCTCTCTCTTTTTTTTTATTATTAAATTGCAAAGAGATTTAATTATCCTTTTTTTCCTCACTCTTTTTATTCTTCATCTCTTTTTTTTAATATTAAAGCATCAAGACAGATGTTTCCCCAATAGAAACACTCCTTTAAACTGTCAAATGGGTTATTTCAAGCCCAAAATTAAGTGGTCTATATTTAATAAAAAGCTATGGAATATTATAAAAGTACAAAGGAATTATTGTCATAGGTAAAAAAAGCTCCTCCATAGATGGTGGACCAAATTCAGCAGTTACACAACTCCACAGTGGCAGAGAAACTGTGCTTCAACCAGGAAAAATTAAAGGGAATGGGGAATATGCTACAAAATGGTTCATTTTGTAGCTTCTCCCAGGAATCCACAGGGAGGAAGCGCTTTGGGAATGGTCCTTTTACACCTCAAACCATAACATCCAACACTCTGCATTCAGATGGACCAGTCAATGTCTGTATCCAGGACAGGATCCCCAGTGGGACATTTCCCAAGCCACCAGGATTTAAGGAGATTATTTAAGAAGAGTTTAAGGCACTGGGGTTTAGGAAGGGGAGCTGGTGCTGTGTAGTTTGGCTCAGCCAATCCTGCACTAACTCAGTCAAGCCCTCCTGCAGCAGAGATGATGATTTTAGTGAAAAAATTGAATTTCCACCTCTTGAAACATTTGAGATCTTCACTCTCCTGCTGAGCAAACCAAACATCCCCAGCAGCTCTGGTCTGCTGCTGTAACAGGGGCTATGAGGGACATTTGGCTTCAGGTTTTCCAATCCAAACCTTCAAAACCCTCTTATTCTGCATCTCACTGACCTCAGCAGAGCTTTTAGTTATTAACAGTGTGAGGCCAAAGCAACGTGGGGACAAAAAGCCAACCCACCCCATCCTTGCCCCCCTGGCTCTCACTCCACATGACTCCCCAGGCTCTGCTCAATCCCTGGGAATAAAACCTCTCTGCTCAACACCTTCATCCTTCCAACACAATCCCTGCCAGATTTTCAGCTCTGCCACCACAGAACAACTCACAGTGTCCACCCCTCCCATCCTGTGTGCTCCAGCACATGGGCTGCCTCCAAACCTCCAGGTTTTTCAGGAGAGCCCTCCCTGTCCTCTCCCTCAGACCAATTCCTTACCCTCATATAGCAAAATGGACCTGCCAAGTGCTTGTTCCCTCAGGAAAGCTCAAGGAGATCCCACTTCCCACAGCATCCAACCTCCCAGATGGGCACCACCAGCCTTTATTTGCCCCCAAAATAACTGTGCACGGGCAAAGTGCCTTTCTCCAGCCACAGTTACCTCTGGTCTATCCAAAAAATGGGGAGGAAACCAGTGTCCATAATGAGAAAATAATGGTGCCCTGGGAGTCCTTCCATCTGGATGGGAGGTGGGAAAAGAGTCTTCAAACCTTTGTCTTTCAGCTGATCAAGCTCAGGGTAACATCTGGTGGTCAAACACACTTCTCTGCTCACACCTTTTGCTGGGAAGGGAAGCACAGAGCAGATGTTTTAGTTTTCTTTGCAGCTCTGAAAATCAAAGGCATTTACTTACTTGCAAAACAGAATCTGTGCATTAGAGAAACAAACAGTGGAGGGAGGGAAGACCTGCCCAGAGGGAGATTTCTCCATCCCAGTGAAATCATCTTGCAAATAACTTCCTAAAGCTGGTTTTGCATAGGTAAGACCTGGGACAAATGCAAGGGCAGGGTTTGCTGGGGCACAAAGGAGGTTAAAAGGTGTGATCTCTGGGGCTGAGTGGAAAAGTCCTTTTGTCCCCACTCCCTTCACAGAATCACAGGATCATTAAGGTTGGAAAAGACCTCCAAGGTC